ACTGCTGGGGATTCCTCAGATACCGTCTAGTGAGATAGAATTATGGAGTGAGACTGCATCATCCTGTTTCCCAAGGGAGAAATGGAGGCTTAGACGGGACTAATTTGCTCAGGGTCACCCAAACAGAGGAAGGCTGGGAACCACACCAGGCTTCTGACACCCGTGACGACACGCAGCCACCAACATCAACACGCTAAGGAGACCAGGCTGGGAAGGGGAAGCAGGACCCAAAGAAGGTAAAATGGTTCCAGATGGAGGGCGAGAAAGAGAAGGGAGACCTGGGCCTGAGGATAGTGGGCACCTGTGGGGGGGGAGGACCGTAACGGGAATAGCCCAGCCCAGGTGGCAGAGGAGGTAGAGTTGTGTGAGAAAGTAGGCCTGGAGATCAGCCTCTGGCCCTCAGACAGACAGACGCACACACACACATGCACTCACACTCACACACACTCACACACTCACACACTCACACACACTCAAACACACACTCTCACACACTCACACACACTCACATTTACACAGTTATACTCACTGATACACACTCACACACACTCACACACACTCACACATTTACACAGTTATACTCACTGACACACACACTCTCGCACACACACATTCACAGTTATACTCACTGACACACTCTCTCGCACACACTCACACACTCACTCACACACATTTACAGCTATACTCACTGACACACACACACTCACACACACACACACACACAATCCTGCCACCGTCTCACCCTCTGAACAGCTTTGGCTGGAGAAGCACAAGACTTCCTGTTTCCTGTCATGGTGCTGAGCCAGTTCCCAGAGCCTTCATTTCATGCCTAGAACACCGTTCACTTCATCTGCTCCCTGTCATGAAGCTCTACCGGGCTCTGTAGAACAGCCAGGGCCAGAGGTGAGGTAGGCAGGACCCTGTGGGCTCACTGCTCAGCCCAGCAGCATGCCAGAGAGCAGGAGGTGACTTGCCTTTCAGGCACTCACACTCACACACACACAGAGAGACACACAGACACACAGCACACAAACACACAGACACAGACACACACACGCACACAGACACACAGACACATACAGTCATACACACACACGCACACAGACACACTCACACACACACAGAGAGAGACACACAGACCCACACAGACACACAGCACACAAACACACAGACACAGACACACTCACACACACACACAGAGACACACAGCACACAAACACACACTCACACAGACACACACGCACGCACACGCGCACACACACACACTGCCCTGTGTCCTATCCTGGGGAGATAACCCAGGTGTGCTATTTCCTGCCCAGTCTGCCTGGCAGAGTCAGGGAGCTAGCCACACAAATCAATGGCCTATGAAGGAAAAGGAGAGTCCAGGAAGGCCCATTGGGTATGAAGTTCGAGGTCTAGGATCTGGGGAGGTAACCTCCATTCAGAATAGAAGAATGGCCACTTCCTTTTAAATTATTTCTATTCATGTGTTTATTTATTTGAGAGAGGAACTCTTCTAAAAAAGATATTTTTCTCTCCTCCTACCACGGGTAACTGAGGGATTGACTTGGCAGTGGTCCCCTCCACCTGCTGAGCCATTCCCTGGCCTGGATGCGCATTTACACGGATTCCTCTAGAGGCTCTGGTCTTTTCTGTTTTAAATCTCTGGACAGTGTCCTCCTGCCCCCTGCTAATCTCCCAGGAGCAGAAGCAGAAGCTGCCTGAAGAGAACAGGCCCTCAGACTCCATGGGTCAGCAGTTATGTGGGGAGTTCTCATCTGAGTCCAAAACAAGAAAAAGGCAATTAAAGAAGTGGATGGGACATCACTTAGCTGGGGACCCCGAGCTCACGAGGCCACTGCCTGCTTCTGCTCGAGAGCATCACCATGGGGTCGACGCCAGGCCCTCAGATTCCCAGAAGGACCTTGCTTGGTCTCAATGTCACTGGAGGCTGTTCTGGGTGTCTGTCTTCTCACTTGCCAGAGGCCATGGTGTCTGTCAAGGGGCACTTAAGCCATTGGTCTTCACGTCGGGGGATGGAGTAGCAGGGGTTGGCGATGGACCGGACAACACAGGCTGCCACCTCCTGGCCAAGCGCTTCCTGGGGCTTGGCTCCTGGGTCCTGGGCCCCAGACCAAGGGAGGTAACCCCTAAAGGTGACACCAGAGATTGCCAGGACCAGCAATGTCACGTGACCCGTGGGATCTGAAGGCATGTCACGTGACCCGTGGGATCTGAAGGCATGCGTACTAGGTAAGCACTCTACCAACTGAGCTAGCTCACTCCCAGACCTGTAGTTCTTAATTGAGTATGTGTGGGGGGCTGCAGAGGTAGCTTAGTGTTTAGGGAGGCTTGTTGTGCAAGCACAAGGACTGGAATTTGAACCCTAGCACCCATATAAAAATTCTGGGCATGGCCTTGCATGCCTTGAACCCCAGCACTAAGTGGGACAGAGACAGGAAGACATTGGGGCTCCAAGCTCCAGGCTCAGTGGGAGACCCTGCATCAAAGAAACAAGGTGGACGGTGAAACAGGGAGACATGCACCACTCCCTCCTCAGGCCTTGACACACCCGTGCACTGGTACTGTATACATTTGCATACATGAACACACACATACACACACAGGCACACACACATGCATATACAGATACACGTGTACACACACAGTGTGTGCGGTGCATATTACGTGCCTTTGTGAGTATGTAAGGGGAATTTCTGGGAACTTCTGGTTGTAAGGCTGGAAATGCAATCCCAGAGGATGAAAGCCGGCTGTCTGTGAGCCAGATGGCTTTGAAGATGGCGTAGGACATGGCCTCGCTGCTCCTGCACGTTGGGGAGGGCCATCCTTTGCTTTCCTTTCCCTCTGTGGTCCATCTGCTGCCTCTGAACCAGTCTTCGGTACAGGGTACCTGGGAGTGGGAACGTGGCTGGTCTAGGGAACCCCCAAGCCTCCTGGAGACAAGACCGAGACCCTCACCCAGCGCTGAGGCAGGGGACTAGCCATGCTAGCTACCCTCCTGCCTCATGGCCCATCCATTGGTCACCCTACATTATAGTTCAGCTTTGGGGCCTGGGGCATTAGAATAAAAAGACCAGATTTCAGCCACAGCTGTAGGGCCTTAGGGTGAGTCACAGCCCAGAAATGTGGCGTCAGGGAATACAGCTGCTGGAACTGTCCATAAATGGGGACACCCAGGCAATGCCCTGCTCATTGTGATTGGTAAATGTTGTAAACTTTGTCACAAACAGCAAACACTAACAGCTCTCCATGCTGCCTAGTATGGGCCCTGCTTCAGGGACACAGGATAAGGAAGTGGCCAGGAGAGGTGGCTGAAGAAAGGGCCACAGGGAGCTGACCCAAGAGACCAAAGGCAGAGATCTGGGATGTTAGTCCTGAGTTGTCAGGGATCTGGGGTGTGAGTGGGCTGTGGCTGCTTCCCTGGGACACTGGGTGGGGTGATGTTTTTATTTGTATGTGAAAGGAAAATTGTGCCCCATGATAGAAGGGCGAGAAGCCAGGTCATTGCTGCTGCATGAGTCCGACCTCTCCATCAGCTCCAGGATCTGGCTCCAGAGAACTAGAATTCCCAGGGGAGCCAGGGGCCCAGCAGCAGTCAGAACTGCTCAGTTAGAACCGAAAGGAACTCTTTCCACTGTCGGAAGCGCGGGGCTCCAGAAGAGAACCTCACTCAGTGGGAAACCACAGGAAAGGAAACAGGGACTTGAGAAAGGACTGATGGTCTTGGGATGAGTCTCGGCAACCCAGCCAGGATGAGCCTCTAATAAGATTTCAGAGATGTTGGAGCAGTCTGCAGCATGCCTTTTCTGTTTGCTTTTGTTTCTGTTTCCTTCTCTTTTAAAGATTTATTTTCTTTTTAATGATGTGTCTGCTTGTGGGTATGTGCATGTGAGTATAGTGCCCACAGAGACCTCAGATCCCCTGAAGCTGAGGTTACAGACAGCTGTGAGCTACCCAGCCTGGGTACTAGGAACCTGAACTTGGGTCCTCTGCAAGATCAAGAGCTCTTCCCCAGAGTCATCTCTCCAGACCCAGCAGGCCTGTCCTAACTCCCCCCCCCCAAGACAGGGTTTCTCTGTGTAGCTTTGGAGGCTGTCCTGGCACTAGCTCTGTAGACCAGGCTGGCCTCGAACTCACAGAGATCTGCCTGCCTCTGCCTCCAGAGTGCTGGGATTAAAGGGTGTGCCACCATCGCCTGGCTGGCCTGTCCTAACTTAAGCAGTTGTACCCTGGCCCTGGCTAGGGCCACAGGCAATGCTTGGGTCGTGCTCTCCTCCAGTACCCAGCATGGCTCCAGCCCGCGGCTCTGTTTCCTTCTGGTCCCGGGACATGGAGGTGAGTGTGACACACAGGGAAATGAATATGAAAGCTGTCAGAGAGACTGCATCACACTCCCCACACCTGGCCCCAACCTCCGTAGTGTATGCCCCTCTTCCCCTCTCCCGGCTGTATCCTACAGTGACCCTCAAAGGAGAGGAAGGAACAAGGCCACCCCAAAGTGGCGTGCTGGAAAAGACTTGAGAGCGGGGCCCGGAGCCAGGCCTTCCGGATTCAAGGGCCATCTCTGTTGACGGCTGGCCCCGTCTCCTGGGGCCTTGTCTTCCTCACTTGGAAAATGACAGTAAGAGTGATCCCTGCAGCACAGAACTTGTGGTGGGGGCTGAGGGGCTAAGGGAGGGTGCAGTAGAGAGGGCTTCTCACGGCACGGCCAGCCCTACGGCCATGGTGGAGGTCCCTCACCAACACTGACTCTGAAGGACTCCCCACCCCTCCCTCACACCCCCAGCTAACGATGGCCCGAAGTCCATTCAACACACACCAGTACTTTCTTTATATGTTGCAGGTTTTACTTCAATTTGAAGCAGATGGTTGCACACAGATGTGAACAGCTTTGGCCTCCGTAGCACATGGAGTAGGCACTGGCTCTGAACATGCCCCCTTCCCCACATACGGGCCCATTCCCCTGGTTCCTCCCTCCCTCCCTAAGTCCTCTTGCCTGGCCTTTCCAAGGGCAGGGTTCTGTCTTGGGTGCTGGCCTCTGCTGTGCACCTGGCGGGGCAGGCTCTGGGAGCAAAGATGCTCAGACTGGTTGTCTTGGGGCACGTCCTGGGTGGGGGATGGAGAAATATCACTCCTTCATTAACCCCCTTTCCTCTCTTCTCAGAGGCCTGGAGTCCAAGGAGGAGCTGGGGCCAGAGACTACCAGGATGTGCTCAGAGGCCTGGGTAGTTAGTGGGAAGAGAAGGGTCTCAGACCCCACCTCCCACCACACCTGTCACGGCCCTAGAAAGCCTGTCTTGCACCCAGGCCAGCTTGGGGCCCAGCGCACACGGAGCACTGGCTCAGAGGCTAAGTGCTTCTGAAGGTCACCAAATGTCCACTCCTTGCACGAGCTCCTGGCAGAAGTGCTAATCCATCTTTGGCTTGAGGCGGACTTGGTCAGGCAGCTGCCATGGTGGCTTTGTGCTGTTGGGTTTCATCCCGTAGTTTTGTCGGACAATCTCTGTAGAATCTTTGGCAACAGTCTACCCCACCAGTCAGAAGGCAAAATCTGAAGCAACCCTGGATGGCTGGAGGACAGCAGGAGACTGGGAGGGAGGCGGGCTGCCCTTGTCCTGGTCCTGGTGGCCCTGAGAGGCAGTGAGTGGGCTGAGTATCCGGTAGCATCTTGAAGACAGGAGTAAGGCTGGCTGTCCTGGTGGCCTCAGCTTCTTTTTCCTTAGGCCCAGCTGGAAAGAGGCCCGAAGCAGTGTCCATGGTCTGGCCTATGGCAGGTCACTCCTGGAAAAAAAGACAAAAAACATTTATCAGCAACCTCCCCTACTCACCCTGAAGGTGGATGCCGACACCCGGAGAACATTCTGGAGACATTAAACGCATCCTGCCCAGTTAGACAACAGGGCCAGATTTGGATGCAAGACTAGCGTCCCCAAAGCACGCACTGCCCCCCCTCCACCTCCACGAACTGCTACACTGAGGAAGTGAAGCCCCTTTAAGCTCCGGGACACCGGGTGCTGATGTCATGAACCCCACATTCTCACTTGCGAGGGACATCGGAGTCAGTCCTGCTGCTACGTGGCGCTGGGGCTGCTACGTGGCGCTGGGGCTGCTACGTGGCGCTGGGGCTGCTACGTGGCACGGGGATGGGTGAATGGTGGGCCTTCCCTGGTTCCCATGGAAATAACTGTCTGAGGCTTTTACCTTCTCCCCACCCTGTTCAGACAGGAGCATGCCCCAAGTCCCGAGGCCCATCGCCTGCCGCCCGGGAGGCCTGGCAGAGTCATTCTCCAGTCCTAGGTTCCCACCTCTGACAGACGGCTCAATGAGCAGGACATCAACAATCTGCTCCCTCACTTCTGGTTTTTCTGAGTGGAAATAAGAGTGGACCTATAGAACCCTGATCCAGAAATGTGTGCTTCTCAGCATCAGGAGGTGGAGATGCAGAGGACCCAAGAGTCCTACGGCGTTGCCCGGGAACCTGGCACATCTTGAGAACCATGAGTTTCTATGTTGGGCTATCTCCAAGTCCCAAGCCCAGAAAGTGGCAGAAGAGAACCAGCCTCTGTGCGTGCGTGCGTGCGTGCGTGTGTGAGTGCGTGTGTGTGTGTGAGTGCAGAGGCTCACTAGGGCTCCAAGACCCCACCCAGAGCATAGAACATAGGAAGAATACTCAGAGACCTTGGGGCAGCTCCCCATTCTGCAAGACTCATGCAGCTCATGCTGCAGTTAAAGCAAACCATCTATCAGGCACCAAGTCATGACCCTCCTCGCACCGAGTCAAGGGTGAGCCACACAGAGTGTGGAATGATGCTACATCCTGGCAGTGTAGGGGTTTGAACCCAGATCAGCCCTGTTTCTCCTACCAACAGAAGCTGCTCCTGCTGACGCCTGGCTTTGGAGAGCAAGCAGAAGGAGCCAAACCATAGGCCAAAGAACTGCTAACCACAGGCCCTTGTACATCTTGCCTAGGAGGCCCCAGGACGCTGGTAGGAACATAACCAAGATGTGGTCCAAGATCCAAAATAAGAGGTTGGAGCCATGCTGGATGCAGGGTCCAAGGAGGGAGAGTGAGCCAGGCCACGGGGGAGGAAGGCTGTCCAGCTAACAGTGGCTACGCAGGGGGGAAGGAAAAGTGAGTGAGAGACAGGATCTTGATGTGGTAAATCCCAGGCTTGCACTCTCCCAGTCCATTGTGCATGGCTGGCCCCAGAAGAGATCTGCTTTTCGTTACTGAGTCTGAGGAGAAGGATTAAGAAGCGGAAAGGAAACCCATGGGGATGGCACTGTGTCTGTGGTCCACAGCGTGGTTTACGGCCACGTCATCCCAGGACTGGCTGCCTGGGCGGGCCTTGCCATGGACCGGGCCTGGAACCCCTTCTCATCCAGCTTGACTGTGGTCTGGAGAAGGAGCGGAGGGCTGGAACCATTCTCCCAGCCACATTGCAAAGCTGGCCAGGGCAGCCTGGCTCCAGCTACAAGCCTGATAGCTCTCAGACTGAGCTTGCAACAGAAGCCCAGCTCCGAGCATCCTACCCCAGACCAGCAAAGGAAGCTTACTGGGCTAGCTTCAGACTTGAGTTGGGGACCAATCAGCTGCGGCAGAGGGCAATCACAGTTGCATGTTGTAACTTTTGGCTACTCTGGCATGCTGGGTCAGTGTGGCAGATGGATAAGTTCATCACAAACAGATGCTACACCTGTCTGTTCTTCATCTGGAGGTCAGAACACCAACCCCATCGGGGCCAGTGGACAGTTCTGTTCACTGAGGCGGCCTAGCGCCCAGCACAACTCCAGCTGAGCTGCTAGCACTATCTCTATAAACACTTATAGAACGAGCGCTCTCCTCTTGGTCACAGGCTTCAGGGTGTTGCAGCTCCTCGTCCCATGGGATGTCCCCGCGTCTCAGGTGGGACACCGAGCATTTGTGTAACGATGGCTGTCCTTTAGAGAAATTTTTCCCTGTAACCTAGAGCAAGCCCAGCCAGGTCACCTGTCATCTCAGTTCGCTTTTCCCTGTCTCCTCTGCTGACTGTGTCTCTGGCCTTAAGTCCTTTGCTTTCTTCTCTTGATCACGGGTGTCATGCAGGATAACTGAATCACTTTAGGGACATTAAAAATTGATTTCAGAGCCGGACAGTGGTGGCACACTCCTTTAATCCCAGCACTCGGGAGGCAGAGGCAGGCAGGATCTCTGTGAGTTCGGGGCCAGCCTGGTCTACAGAGCTACACAGAGAAACCCTGTCTGGGAAAGCCCCCCCCAATATTTTGGGCCAGGGAGATGACACAGACGAGAAAGGACCAAGCTGCGTCTACCCAGAAACTGATGGAAAAGGAAAACTGACTTTCACAAGTCGTCCTCTGACCACCTCATATGGACGCCACTGCACGCACATAAACAACACTCATACGTGAATGTTTCTTTCGCCTGCACACATGTGTGTGAACCACTTGTGTGCCCAGTGCTCACAGAGGCCAGAAGGAGGCTCTGGGTCACCAGACTGTTGTGAGTCACCATGTGGGGGCTAAGACCCAAACCCAGGCCCTCTGTGAATGTACCCAGTGCTCTTAACCACTCCACCATCTCTCCCGTCTCCATCTCCCTCCTAAGTTTTAAAAATGCATTGCTCATCTCTAATATCCACTTTATCTCCTTAAACATTTTTTTCACTATTTTCAAATTCTGAATTTTTTTCATTTATGCAGTTTGGATAGTCTGTGTGTGGGGAAAAAAAAAAACAACCAGTGGGTTTGAAATCTGAAGGTTTTGTTTTTTGTTTTTTAATTATTATGTCCTAAAAAGAGCAGGCAGAGCTTAAGCACCATTAAAAAACTAAAATTCACTGGGGAAGTGGGGAGTTGGAAGAATTCTACAAGAACCGTATCGCTCATCCTTCCACATTGGATGCTGCTGAGTAATCAAGTCAGCTGTGGGGCGTGGGCAGGGCAGTTAAGCTCCACCTACCCTTGGTCTCCTCAGTTTAAGATGTCATGTATTTGTGTGTGCGTGCGTGTGCCCGTGTGTAGATGCACAGGCCACAGGGCTCATGTGGCAGCCAGGAGACAGCTTGTGGGAGTTGGCTCTCCCCTCCCTCCTGGAGTGCAGCTCAGGTCCCCAGGCTGGGAGGCACCTCACCTGTGACTGCTGCACCCTGCACCGCCTCCCCGGCCCCTCTCATTTCCTCTATCTTTAGTGTGTGTGGGTGTGTGTGCGCCTGCGCAGAAGTCGGAGCCCCAACTGCTGCTCATCCCACAGCCCGGGTCTGTGCTGGGAACTGCCGGTGCGTGCCGAGCCCATAGGCCTCTGTCCTAAGTTCCCAGGGACCCATCCCTAGCCGCTGCTGTCCCACCTGACCTGGACACCATGAGGCAGGCAGGGAATTCGGGAGTAGTTGCGGTTAGCTGCTGTTTACTGAGGGCATACACATGACAGGGACATGGTAGGAATCTGGCCGGGAGGATCCTCAGAGCTCCTGGGAGCCTAAAGGCATCGGTGTCACAGTCAAAGCCTTTGTGAGCCGGGAGAGCCAGGCATGGGGAGAATCTATCCACTCAACCGGCTGCACCGAGTTGCTGTCACATAGTCTCGGTGACAGGCACTGAGTTGGAGCCCTGCCAGGCTTGCTGTCTCTCCTCACCTGTGCTCCCCAGGGCTGTTCCCCAAAGAGAAAGACGGTGCCTGCATTCCAGGCTAATGTATGTGACACACGGACCCCAGCCCCAAGACTGGGAGTACTGGATCCAGCAAGGCAAACCCTTCCTTTCTGAAGCCAATGATTCAGGCCACACCTCTATGCCAGGGGATGGTGTAGAGATGGACTCTCCCAGCAGTAAGAAGCAACAGCTGCCCACCTCGTGCTGGGACCTGAGACCTCGCACTGTGCTATCATAGACAGAGTCCCGGGCAACCTGGGCCAGCACTCGCTGACTACCACTGGCCCTGGAGACCAAGGGAACTATCCTACCCATGAACCGCAAACTCCAGCGAGGACTGTGGCTTGTGTTTTTGCTGACTGCCCCACAGGGGATACTGAGGCTCTGCCCAAGTCCATCCTGTGATGCCGCCAACTTCCACCTGCAGAGGACGAGCTGCTGCTCCCAAACCGCAAAGCTCTTCATCCCCCAGTCCCTCCAGCTTTCTGTCGCCTGGGTTACTGTTAGGGGGGCTGCTCGCCCTGCCCACCCCTCCACTGAACTCCCAGGGGGCATTGCCCTAGGCATCCTGATCTTCCCATGGCCTGGCGAGATGTTGGGGGTCGGGGCTATCTTTTTAGAAAGTGGCCATGTGCCAGGGACCGCATTTCCTTCCCTTGCTCACACTGACAGAAACAGCCCTGGGGAAATGGGGGTTGCTGTCCCATCCAGCAGATGAATAAACAGAGGCCTGCATAACACCCTGCGGCTGCAGTTGCTGTGGACAGAGTCTGGGCCCTGGCAGACCTAACAAGCTAACTTCTCCCCTCTGCCCTCATTGGGCCAATTCAACAGATAGTAACCAAGAAAATGTGGTCAGGGCAGGAAGAGGAACGAAGAGTCCCAGTGACCCCAATCTATTAAACAGAGAGGGTTGAAGGTAAGTATAACAGAGCAGTTCTGTTAAGGTGTGGTCCCACCCATCATCACCCCCTGGGCTCTAGTCTCTTCTCTTCCCAAGAAGTGGTCTGACAAGCTGTCAGAAGTGTGTGAAATCCCTTCCTGGGAGGGGAGGCAAGGCTTCAGCCTTTTCCTTCTCCTGGCTGGCAGCAGGAGCGGCCTGGCACACCCAAAGCTAGGACCATAGCCTC